TAACCACTAGATGATGCTTCCTGTGAGTATATAAAATTTCGTTTACATGCAAAATCTCATTATGTTTGCTTACACTAACGATGTGTTAATATTATTTTTTATATCCTGACTTTCCCTGACTTCCCTAGTCCCCCAGGGCTTAGCAGATTTTCAAAGTCCATTACAACAATGGAAGAAAGTTTATGTGACTACTTGTCACTCAGCCTGTATGTTAAAGGTTCCCATAAAACAGCTGGGGACATTTATTACACCATAGTCAGCACTGTTTGAACAAAACACTCCATGACTCTGTGTGAACAAAATTTCTGACAATGCAGACATTTTAGGAAACAAGCAGAAAAATTTTGAGGATATTACCACCAGGCAGGCACTCGTATTATCCAAGAGTTCAGCACTTTCAATATGTGATGAAATATCCAAAAGAACTTTTTTTGCAACCATATGTATAGAATGGCATGCATTCTACTGAAACTGAGGACACTGTATTTGTATAAAATAGTGTTAAGACAGCCTCAATCCCAGCCCATCGTAATCACAGTAAAAGAAAAACAACATGTGGTTCTGTAGATAAAGTTACCAGGTAAGAGGACAAAGAATTATTGTTGATATATAGTCCTCTGCCAAGAAATTATGACTAACAAGAAATTAAGAAACAAGTAGAACTTATTAAAAGGCTCAATAAAAGTGGCTATATTGCACACCAATCTATTGCAAAAGCTTTTAATAGTAAAACTATGACTTATTTGTGACTCTCACTTATTATGTAGGTTGTGAAGATGTTTTCTGAGAGCAGAAGGAAGGTAGAAGAAACATTCAATGTTCTACAAAAGCTTGGGTTCTATTTAAAAATTTTGTCAATCAGAAATGGAGTATCTGAGGAAGAGCAATTGTAACAAGTCTCATTATCTTCTGAAAAACCAAGGCATCACAGACAATGTATTTGTCCAACAATATAACCATATGTTCATGTTCTTTTGATCAGCAATAATATTAGCCAGCTAAGCTCCAGATTTGAATAGCACTTTAGTACCCAGCTTTTCACTGAGTTGGCAGTCACAGTGAATGAAGTACTCACTGCACTGAGAGATGGTCAAAATTGGAATTTCTGTTCTGCAGGAAACTCTGCTCCTTCAAAATTTGATGTTGCTCTAAATCAGAAAGAATGTCACTACTTCAGAATTTCCTATTAAACAAATGGCTTAAAGAAAAGAGATTCGGGAATCTAAAACAAAAGCATTTTGGCAATGAAAAAATAATTTATTTTGACATGACTAATGGTTTTAGTTTCATATGGTAAAAGGCTTTGCATCAATTGTATCTAAATGCTGTCTAAACCATTTGGATTACATTTGACATCATCACAGTAACATGGTTACCATTAATACATAACGTAGAAGGACAAAATAAAGAACTGGAATTACAAAACCTGAAGATTTTTATGGTACTGAAATAATTATTTCTGGCAGTCCTCCATGGATATCTCCACTGTATCTGTTAGAAAATCTTAACATATGACTACCCTTCATTCACTGGTAATAAACAGAACAATCCTCCCTTTTCTTGCCCCAAAACAACTCGATTGAAAAATGTGATTAGGTATGGCCTTTCTGAAGTGAGTGGGAGTTCTGGCACTGACATCAATTAAGTCAGAACTTTTTCACTGATTTCAGAAGGACTACTTGTGTACTTGAAAACATGTGAACATAAATCCTGTATTGATCTGGAACCTTAACAACAAAACTTCAAAGGAAATGATCCCATCTAAATCCCAGCTGAGAGCATAGGCCAAAACTCTTAAACACAGTGCATAGACTCTCAAAAAAGCAAAAGCATTGTCTAGCCAGATTCTGAGACCATTTTCCATTAATTTACATCTTCTGGAACTACAGCAAAAATAGATTATTACAAAATCAGCATGACCAGTCCACCAATTTAAAGCGTCTTCAACCACAGGAAAAGAGTGACACTATTTTTACCATACACTTAAAAAAAATCATTACTATTACTGCATTATTAAAATCTGCATACTTGTAAGTAAGGTAGTGATTTCCAACATGAAGAAGATACTGTTCTCAGCAGTCAATACAATAAAACTAAATCATGTAGTAAGATAAACAAGAGATTTCACCAAATGTGGGCAAATATGCCTCAGGCACCATCTATTATGTGCACATCTGCCCACACAGCAGATTGCTATCATCTAGTGTTATCAAAAGGCTCCATGTATTTCTCAGGAAACAAGCACAAACACTCTCAATAAATCATGGCACTAAGTACGTGTTCCTCCATCAGTAAGACACTGTCTTCCACACTGGTTATGCCTAAAAGAAAATGTTTTTTTTTGTTTGTTTGTTGTTTTTTGTTTTTTTTTTGTGTGAATTCAGATAAAAAGAAGAGTTGATTCTCTTCTTCCCTCCTGCCTAATCCCTTGAGCACGTGCTTTACTGCAGACTTGAAAGGCCTTGTGGGGCCCTTTTGTCATGGTACAGGCAGGGCCTCATTGCCAAGCCCATCTACCTTGCCTGCCCCTTTTCTCATGGTACCTAGGAGACAAATTTCTTTGGCTGTCTGCTGACCTGGATATAAACATGAAGCTAGAGATCCTTACATATTTTTTTCCCAGTATAGTCTAAAGAACATCCCCCCTGCTGCAGCTGATGAAAGACTAACAACCATCTTCATCTACCTCCAAAATCAGCTGGTGCAAAGTAAAAGGTGTCCAACAATAGAGAAGCATATTTAAGGGAAAGTAGAAAACAACATTTCAAGCATGAATCATGCAAGATGGCATCACAAAATATTGCAAGATGGCATTGAAATTTTCAGAATGATCACTTAAAAGCCTCTGTTTTCTTTAAATGAATGTTTATTTTTGGTACATTAACTCATTATTTTTGGTATCAGTAGATGGGATGCATATTTTAATTTAAATGTCATAAGAATATTAGCCCGAGCTTTGCAACTGCATTCATCTAAATAGATTACTGTATTTAATACAGTATAACCTTGCTGTATTTAATGCTGTATAACCTTGCTTAGTTTCCAAAATAAATTTGCAAAGGGAGTGGATTACTCTGAGGATAATCAATGTGATAGGGAGGGGGCTTTTTTAATCTCGATGTCATTATTTGAAACTGATTAAACCAAATTTGTTACGTTAAGTAACCTGGGCAACCAAATAGAATTTGAACCCTTCTTCCAGGCACAGCAATATAGTTGGAAACAAAGCTGTGCCATGAAGCAGATTACCCTAAGAAAGTAGTTCTGTCAACCCTATTAAAACCAGGCAGAGTGACTGAACTGTGTTCCCAAAGCAAATACACCACAGAGATGGAAAATGAGCGGTGATCTCTCTCTTGCCAAGGTCTTTAGTACAAGTCCCAACCATTACTATGGAAGAACCTGCATGGATCCCACTGGATCTGTTAGAACTATGGCATCCAGAAACAAGACAAAACAAACATGGGGAGGCATCCACTGAAATGCAAGGCTAAGGACCACCTCTCTGTGTTGACAGATGCGATGCACCATTTTGACAATGCAACTACACTGAGGTTCTCTAATCCCCATTTAAGTATTGTTGGATATTGTTAGTGAATTTTCCACGTTTTAAATGTTCAAGGTATGATCAAGCACCTTGCTTTATCAGTACAAATTTTTATTTTTACCTATGTTTATTAATTATGTCTATCAACAGCAAAAGCATGTAACAATGATGAGAATTAATGGCTTGGTAGAATGTGTGAAAGCTTCCCTAGAAACTCGTGGCTAATGGCCAGAAGTCAACATTACCACAAACATAAAACTAGAGTAATGCAAGAATGATTCTAGGTTAATTAAGGTTCAGTAAACATTCAGCATCTGTGGGTTCCTTATGGGTTTTTTTAAGCCAGAATGAAAGCTTTATGCACATAATTCTGCAGCATTTTTTCCCTTTATGCTTAAAATAAGAAGTTTCTCCCTAAAGGTCTCCCCAGTTCTGAATCTTTCACTACATTTAATCACTTTTGTTGCCTTTCCTTCTTCTTGGCAGCAATTTTGCCCAAGTACTCCTGGGACTGGTGTTGCATTACAGATTCATCAATGATTTGCTGCTTACTCTACATTATCCCACAAGTGCTGAGGCAAACAGTTCCTTGCCAGGATCAAATGATCCTCTATATTCGCATGCAGTTTAAAATCTTGTTAATGTTGACACTTCTGATGAAAGCTCCACATTGACACTGGAATGTGTGAAACCTGCAGGCTTTGGTGACTGCCACATAAACAGGTACCCAGGGTACGAAGTTTTTACTAGGTCCTCTATTTGCCTACAGGGACATAATCAGCTTAAGCAACATCCTTACCAGAAACAATGTCAAATAGAGAAGCTAACACAGCCTGTCTGTCTGGAGGTGATGCTGCTGATGGGTGACAGAGAGACTGCCTGCTATCCTATGTTGCTAAACCAGCGTGTCTGACAATTTTGCTCTAAAGTCAATTAACTTTAATGGTTAGACTCCAAATTGCTTCAATGATCTTTGGACCAAGCTCAATAAGAACTAATTAGGTCTCCATTCCAAAGGTTAGTTGTCAAAATTATTAATGGATTTTTGTTTATTTGTTTTCAATATTGGACCAGAGGCTCTTTCTTAGTTATTTAGAGGAACTGACATAATTTGGAAAGTATTAAATTAAAATACAGGTGCCAGTATTAAAAAAATTAATTTCATGTAAACAGACAAGTATAAGAAATTTACACACTGTGCAAATGTGGTCCACTACATGGGGACAAAGGAAACACAAACTAAAGTTAGTGATACCTGTAATTTAGTTCTGCTGTATTTACTACACTCCACAGCCTTGCATGTGTTTAACATGAGTACAGCCAGGTTTACTGTCTATAGATTCCAATTCTGATAACAAAGTCTAGGACTGGGGCTGGACTTTTCAGAACTCATCTCACTCCCTCTGCTGAAAACTCTTGATACAGGAGAAGACTGTACAACTGAAAAACTTACCACAGGAGAGAACATACTTGAAGAAAGACTGTGATGAAGGTTCCTCATGGGGGAGTGATACCACAGCAAATGCCTATGCAGTCTCGGCACTTTCTATGATTTATTTATTCTGTCAGCAAATCATCACCTATAAATCAAATTAAGAAATATTCAAAATCTGAAAGTCACAAATTAGACTAAAGTCATTTGTGTCATGATTTTCCTCCTAATTTTCCTTCCTTTATTTTCCTGGAAACATACAATAAATATAATCTATATAAATATAAATTGCATTTATAGCATACAAGACAGGAAACATAGATGTTCTTCACCATGAATTGGTCAGAAAACAAAATTATTTAACTTGAAATGAAGTGCTCAATAAAAGGCCTAAATTCAGTCTTTGGATACTAGAGTCCAATTCTCTCTGGCACTAACAAAATGTCATGTCATTTTCTGGAAGAACAAGGTCTGCCCTTTTGCTGCTGAGCTCTGAAAACTTAGTTATTGGAGGAGAGGAGAGTTTGTCTTCACGGTATGGTGGAGGGGATGAGAGAAAAGTCATAGTTCACACCCTCATGTGGTACATACAAAGGCAAAGAAACAAAAAACTCTTCCTGGGGACAGGGACTGCCTTTCTTTCTCCCTGATAGAGACTAACCCCCCTGAAACAAGGGAGTAAAAGGAGGAGGGTTGCTCCCCTCTCCTCCATCTCCTGTCCACCCTGCAGTCATGAAAGGAATAAGTTTGAATGAATTCTGGCACAGAGGTTTCCATACCTGTCCCTTTGCCAGAGGCTGTGTCAGCTGAAATGTGTGCCTGCTCTGTACCTGCTCCAAGTCAAGGTCACTCACTGTCTTAAAGCAGATGAGACATCAGGATACAATTATGATGTGCTGAAGGTTACCTGATGGAAGTCAGGGGCACAGGAATATGCATGCACATCACTTGTTCTGTGTTTGGACACAAACCCTTGGCAACCAGGTTTGGTCTGATGTGATGGGCTGAGGGCTGGGCTGCAGTTCACAGTCTCTTGCAGAGATTTAGGCTGACTGTGTAGCTCTGGTGTTTAGAAGCAGTGACACTTGACTTGACACGAAGACAATGAAGATGTGGGCAAACAGCCTTTCTGAAAATCAGTTTCTCAACAGTCACAGAGTCATAGAACTATACAATGGTTTGGGTTGAAAGGGACCTTAAAAATCATTGCGTTTCAATCCCTCTGACATGAGCAGAGACATCTTCCAATAGACCAGGTTTCTCTAAACCCTCATGTAACCTGGCTTTGAACCCCATTCCAGGAATGGGGCATTCAAAACTTCTCTAGGCAAGGTCTTGTAATAACACTGAGCAACAGTTACTCAGATTTTGAATTAACAGACAATAAAATATTTTATTTTTATTTTTATTTTATGAAGAAAAATTGGAAGAGCTTAGATGCACTACATCTCTGTGCCAAGTCCAGACTAAAGTCTCAATTAGGATGGGTAAGCATCTTTGTAACCTGTGTGAAAAATAATAACAAAGCTGGCATTAAATTATGCCCAGTCAATCAGAATGATCCATAATGTGGATGTTTTTAACAAGCTGCTGCCCAACATTTTTGACATGTTTTAAAACAAGCCATCCTGATCAGCCCTGTAGAGGTGAGTTCTTCCAAACTTAATGATCCTCCAAAGAGAAGGCATAAAGATTTAGCAACTCAGTAGACATGACTGCACAGATCTCTGCTGCCAGCTTGGAAATGACAAATGGTTTGTTAATAGAGAAGCTTTCTTTTTGTATTATTTTTTGCCAATGAAGTGAAAACAGAGCATCGATTAAGCAATCCAAGCTGAGAAAATACCATACAATTTGGATGAGAGCTTTCAGACCAGCAGCTTCAGACCAGGTTTCAAGGCTTTGAAATACAACTTCTGCTTGTTGCTTGATGCTTAAAGATACCTATCCTGGAGCCACAGACAGTAATTTATGTCAAGATGACACTGTAGTTCACAAATGAATTTCAGTTGTGCGAGCAATGCCATATGCACAACACTTGGGTGAAAAAATGCTTTCTGTCTCAAATGCTACAAACTGAGAGAAAGGATTAATAGAGACATCAACAAAAAAGTTCTTTGCACAAATAGAGTATGGCTGAAGAATACCAATAGCCCAGCATGCTCCTGACTCAAAATCACCCTTCTCTTCCACCTGTCAGATGAAATCATTTGTACAAAAATTCAGATTGAGCCTTTCACTCAGTATTAAGTTTCTGCACAGCTAAAATTTGAAACTTCTATCCTGTGGAATAATTTTACCGAAGTCACCATATGTATTCAACACTAAATAAAAACTATCTGTCTAGAGGTAATTAAAAATATTTTCAGGTTTTTTCTTCTTGCAGAAAAAATTAAATTTTCCAGGGGAGCTTTAAATACAAGCTTTGGCACTCACAGATATTAAAGTTTGAGTGACTCATATTCTCATTCCCTTGTGTAGCTACATTACTAGACTGCATTTCCCTCAATTCATCACAGAATAGGCTATGTCCACAGCCATAATGCAGAGATAGTGGCATGTCATGGAGCACTAAGTCCAAATAGGAAAACAGGGCCCTAAGTAGAACAGGAGCAATAAGCATCTAAACTGTCATACTCAGAAGGCATTATGGAGACTTATCAAATATGTATAAATTTTTAAGTTGAATGTTTGGTGTCTGGGCTGGCGGGGGGCGGGGAGGAGGGTATTAAAATAAACTTGCAAAAAAACCCCATGCCCTTTCACTAAAAATATCCCAGCACACCCATAGAAAACTGCTTCAATGAAAAATTTTCACTTTAATCAGGTCAGTTTGTCTGGACAACTGCTAGGTAAATAGCTATGCCATTCTATTTGTATTTCAGCTCATGCTCCAGAGCTCAGAAAAATCAACATAGGCATATAAGCCGAGTGAAAAATATGCTTTATTTTTAACAGACAAGCATTGAAATAAATGGTATGGGTTTTTTTTTCAACTAGCGATCTGTATATTTTACACATACAAAAATTAAACCAGTTATTTAGTGTCTCTGGATTTTAAATCAACACCCACCATTTCACAGCCTATTAATAAATGGATTAAATCCCTGATGTAGCAAAATTGCTTTCCTGAAAAGTTCATGCAGGACAAACTCCTAAGGCTAAGATCCTGTTTTCTGAAAATCTTGCTCAGAAAACAAGCACATATATGGGAAGGAGCAAATTTCCCTTACCATGAATTATCAGCCCTATTTAACATATTATCTCCACATTCTTAACTGAAAAGTTTCCAATTGTTTGAATATCCCCTTCTTCCCTGAAAAAAAAACCAAACAAAACCCCCCCAAAAAACCCCAAAGAAACACACCCAAAAAACAAACCTCAAAACACTAAGAATAAGAGAACAAAGATTTGTGTTGATTGCTTTAGAAAAGAAATTGAGGAAAAAACATTATCGGTGATAAAATTATTTGTATTTTTTTGTTGCTGTTGAAATGAATTACTGAACACAAGATTTGTTGAGTGAGTAACTGCAACACTGGTGCCAGGGGAGACCTTCTTGTAGGACTCTTTGCAACTCTGTGGTGGCACCTGAAATTCTGTTCACAGTCCGAGTACCATCTTGATCAGATTTTCCTTGAAATTCCTTAATATAACATTATGCAAGCACTTGTATGAGATTTGTTTTTCTTCTTTTTGTAAATCATAGGATCATAGAATGAATCATAGAATGGGTTGTGTTGGAAGGGATCTCAAAGATCATCTAGTCCCAACCCCCCCTTGCCCTGGACAGGGACACCTCTCACTAGACAAGGCTGCTGAAGGCCTTGAACACTGCCATGTTGGTACCTCCCTGGACAACCTATTCCAGTGTCTCACCACCCTGACAGTAAGGAATTTCTTCATAATTACAGTTACACAAAAAACTATTTCTTTCTAAATAGAGTACATGGTTTCATTGCCTGAGAGGGAAGTAATAGCTCTGTACATACGTGAAATGACACACTTCAAAACAAAATTCTGCTTCCATTTTTTTTCATGACCCAGGCTCCTGCTTTGATGTGAAGATGACATATCAGGTAAGAACCTAAACACATACAGATTCCCCACTAACCTCTCCTGCATCTTTCTGACACACAATCACAGAAGTAACCTTCCAGCTGACTTTTATCAGTCAAATCTAGATTCATTGATGCTGCTGAAGTAAATGGATGTATTTACATATGAAAGAGATTTGAAGAGGGCTTTTTTTTTGTTCTCACAGCAAAAAGTTACACTACTCAAAGTAGTTGTGTCCATTTTAAAAAACTCTCTTTTTTTCATTAACTCATTATTTCAAATATATTTCATAATTTATTTGTAGTGGGAAAAGGATTTATAAGTAGAAACCACAGGAGAGTCATAATTCAGGTCACATTTGTGCAGCTCACCAGCTAATCTGAAAATCTAAATATACTGAGACTTTCTGATATCTTCTCACAACTGTGTGTCATATAACTTATGAATAGACTCAATTCAAAAGAAAGCTTTTGAAATACAAAAAAAAAATAATTCTGCTTTGTCATCTACTTCTTTGTTCAGTCTGTTCATCTCTTTTGCTCAATATTTGCAAATTAACAAACAAATTGGGTTTTGGCCCATCCACCGCTTCCTCTCTGTAACAGATTAATGGCTAATGCATAATCCCACTGGATTGGTTATAAAATGCAAAGGCTGCAGTAGAGAAAATACCACACTTTCTACTTTTACCAATTGCTTTGTGTATGGTGACAAATTTTTAAAGTGAAACAACAGGAAGATAAATGAAATTTTGTCTCCTTTCATTCCCAGTATCCTACTGAAATTTCCTACTCCTACTAACAATTGTAGTGGATGAAAATAGGAAAAAATATTCTTGCAACTGAGAGATTGAGAAATCAAGGGGACTGGGTGCAGCTACTGGTTGTGCCCCAGATTAGTGACACTGGCTTCTTTCCCACCTTTCACAGTAACCACGAAAATGATGTTTGCTTCCTTTAGTGCTGAATATATTTCACATATTTTAGTTTCAAGCTCTCTGGAGTACAGTCAGCTGCTAAATATGCTTTTCTGCTGTTAGTGCAACACAGCCATGACACATCTTGAGACCGAACAAAAATCCAAGCAATA